CGGTGTAGTTGGGATGACTTTTTTGTGGGTGACATGTGTGCATATGGGATTCCCGTTCATACCCGTTACTCGTCGAGGGTATTCCTGCAGGTGTGATCACAAGGTACATGTGTACATACATATGTACATATTTTTCGTATTATTCCGACCAGATCTTAGAAATTCGATACTCGTATTTGTGCATAGATGTCACAAAGCCCCTCGTATGCACCTGTCAACAATACCAAAAAATCAACGCAAAATTCAAAATTTTTCAGCTTATGCTTTCATCTGAGCAGCGGGTAGGTATCCTTTCGTCGCTATCCTTTTTGGCTGGCAGCAAAAACGGAATGTGACTCCATCATCATCATCGTTGTCGAATGCTTAACGCGAAAAGCAATTGCATGAATATTGATGTGTCCATGCGAGTGTGTACACACCGCTTCGTGGCAAGGAGGCTGGAGGCGTGGCCGGGCGCTTATGGAGGGGCTTCTTTGTTTTTTTTTTTGTTCTGTGCAAACATTTCTATCCGAATTTTTTTTTTGTCCAACCATAAAGCAACGTCAAAAGGATTGTGCCCGCCCGGTAAATTGGCTTCAGGGCCCGTTAAATGCGTTTGCGTGTAAAGGAGCCCGTTGTATTTTTTTCCCTCTATTTCTTCCCCCCCACACCACTAGCTCCATTGTGGCTGAGGCGCTGTCGTTTGTCGTTGTTGTTGTTGTTGCTTTATCGATGGCACAATGTTGTTGCTTTTACTGTTGCTTAGTCGCAACGCATTTCGAACTTAATTATTATAATTAATTGGCAAGAAACGACGAGCGACGAGCACCCCGAAACAGTAGCCAGCAACAACAACAAAAGTGAATACTCCTCGACACGCAACGACACGCACCCCACCCCCTAGGGCCTAGGCCCTAGGCTGTTGAATTAGCCAAATATCGTAAGAGATCTTTGGCAGTACAGTTACCCCTTGCCTATCAATTAATAGAGGGGTATTAACCATGAATTTAATTCATATGTACATATGTATGAACATATGTATGTATATGTAACCCCTGATTGAATTTTAATTCTCATTCCCTTCGTTCGACTTTGTTTTAGAATAACTGAATAGGAAAGAAAATTCGTGTAGCTTCCTCAAGCATTATCACATGCAATAAATTTTTTTCTGATGTTGGCTTGCAAGTTTTTAAAGGATGCTATAAAGGATATTGGCTGTGAGAATTTTTCTAAAAAATTGATAAAAAAATATCTTAAACAAAATGCAACATGGATGATTGTTATCCAGTAATCCAATCTATATATGTACCATACATATGTTTTTTTAGGTTATACATATGTATGTACATAATTCTGATCAATTCTGAGATAAAAATGGGAGTGGAGGCAGAAGAAAAATCCCTATTGGGGAGTTGGGGCACGCAAAGGTTATACAAGTAAATGTTAAAAATATTGCGGCAGAGCAGTGCATGGTTAGAAGGAGATTTTATCGCAATCGGATTAACATATTTATATGCAATAGCATGTTCCAGCCGTAGAAGGGAACGAACCAAGTTTTTTTTTTGTAGTATGCAACCGTACATAAAATAATCTTTCTTGTTTAAATTAGCCTTCCTTCTAACACTCTGACGCTCTGACGCGGTCGCATCCAGGCAGGCAGGCGGCCGACAAAAGCTGCCAGTTTTGCTGAATAATTTAGCATTTCCAAACCGATTCGCAGGCCCTGCCTCTGCCTCACGTGTGTGTGTACGTGTACTTGGTTTTAGCCCAGCCCTAAAGAGCAGAACAAAGACGGAGGGGAGACCCCTCACACACAATAGCTGCTGCAAAAAAGTATAAAAAAAATAAATAAATGCTTACATAAAAACATGAATAAGAACAATTGTTAAGCCATTTTGTACGTATGAAAGCGGAATTATGCAAATGCAAAGTAAATACAACACACAAGAAAGGAAAAAAAAAAAATGTATATAAAAAAATAGGGGAAGATTGCCTTGCCTGCTGATGACAGCGTTTGGTATGCAACCAAACTCTGACGCTGATGATGATGATGCTACTGTCACGAGGATACCAATATACCAAGCCGCGTGCCCACCACGCGTGCATGTGTGCCGTGTCGTGTCGTGTCGTGTCGTGCCGCGTGTCAATGTACCATTGCTGTTGCTGTTTTTTTTGCTGTTTGTGCCATGTGTCATGCAAATCGAATCTAAATATTGTTTCTCCTGTTGCTTCTATTTTACATAATGCTATGCACACACCACCCAGTTCTTTTGCCGCTATCCAGTTGTTCATAAATGCAAACAACAAGTGTTGAGTCTTGTGGCCTATACCCTTTGCAGAGGTTGATATAACTTGCAGCAGAACAATACATAGATTTGTATATATGTGGGCATTTTTCAACGAATCAGAACGCGTTAATACCAGGAAATACAGGAAAACGCCAGACGCCATCTGATGTTTGCCTACAAGTGCATCAAAATCGGCTAGCCATAGCTAATTTGGATGGAAAAAAGAGTGGCCAAAGCTTCGGTCTTGCCTGCTTGCTGTGTGCTTTTAAGCAGTAACAGAACCACCGAGCAGGGCAGAACAGAGCAGAACAGGCAAAGTAAACAGCCGAACAAACAAAAACAGCTGCTAGGCAGAGTGGCACACTGTTATTGAATGTTCTTTGGTTCTTTTGTTTCTTGCCATTGGGCACTCCACCCGACATTCGACACACTTTTTAATTAGTTTTGCCACATTTCGCAAATAGTTTAAAACAAATAAACGTTTGCGCACTTTAATTAAAGAGGCCTTTTCGTTTTGTGTGTCACCATCCATTCTTGGTGCCCCTGCTGTTCTGTTCTGCCTGCTGCCCGTTCTTTTGATTTGCTTTTGCATTTGCATTTGCAAGAATAAATATTTGCAGATATTTTTTTAATTAAGTTGCCAGTCTGCCTCGACCACAAGATGCCACAATCCTACATACATACATACACATGCATACATTTATCGATCGATACACATAAGACTCTGTGCTCTGCTGTGCTGTGCTTGTTTTGCTGGATACAAACAATTGGAGGCTGAAAAAAAAAATGCAAGAAATGCATGTGCCATGTGCCACAATTGTTGGATAAACATTGAATATTTTTGCTTGACTTGGTAGGGCGGGCGGGGGGCCCAGACCCAGTTCCAGGCCCAGGCCAGAACACGGACCAGAATATTTATGGATTTAGCTGGAATACAATTTAAATTTTTTAAATATGTGTGCACACATGGCAACCGCATGGTATGAACAGAACCCGTAAACTGTAAACCATAAACCCCGCCTAACCGCAACCGTGTCAAAGCTATTGGAAGAAAAGAAAAAAAAAAATCAACAAAAACAAAAACAAAATAACAATGAAAAATAGAGAAACAACAAGCTAGAAAAATCATTCAGACTATTGGAAAACCTCCCTCCTCCCCAACTATATAGTACACCTGAACTATTCAAACGATTGAGAACTGTCAGAGCGAGAGTAATTGTTTTCGTTTCTTTTTGGCTGTAATACATATTTAATCGTAATTATTTTCAGTAGATAATATCATTTGGGTCTACTCGATAATAGAAGGTCCTGGGAAATAGTCTTTATAGAGATTCAAGTTGCACAAAACATAAACACAAAAAATAAACAAGTTCTGGGAAATGGTTCTGGTACTTGTACAGAACCTTTACGTCGATAAGTGAGGCCAAGTAAGGCTATTAAATGCCAAATTAATAGGTGGAACAAATGGTTGTTGTTTTTTTTTTCACTAAGTGCCGTGCCAAGAGACCCCAATTGTTGGGGACTTATGTATGTGCACATTTCTAACTAGAATCAATTGAATGGAGTGTACAAAAAAAAGGAACAGTTTTTGTACTGTCTGATCTATAAGTGATATATGCTCGCTGAATCACCCAACCTCTTAATGTTATCAACGGGGAACACTTAATTTGAGTTACTTCACGAATAGACTGGAAGTCATCTATTTAATGTGACGCTGCTCAGGCCTTAACGTAAGTACAGAATACTACAGTTGTGCTCATTTGAACTACTGCAAGAGGAGAGAGAGAGAGAGGGAGAAGCTTTTCTGCAGTATAAAAAAATACAATATGGCGGCAAAGTACAGTTGTGTTTCTCAGTAACAAAATACTGAGTTAATCAAAAATATATAGTGGAAGTTATCTTAGTTATCTTAGCAAGGATGCTTAGGCCTTAAGGCAAGTACCGAATCGAATATGACGTAAAAGTACAGTTGCGCTCTTTTGTGCTACTTCAAGTTGGGAGTGGAGTAAACTGGAGTATACAATATGGCGACAAAGTACGGTTGCGTAACTTTTAAGCTGCTGCCAGATGTATCTCAGTAGCGAAATATGGCAGATAATTGTAGTGAGAGAGCCACAATTAAACGGTCGATTTGCACACACACATGTACAATACATACTATTCCAATCAATTAAGCAAGTCACTTGTATTAAAATGCCGAACTGAACGCTCATCAATATAAATGAGCCTCCCCTGGAGCGGGCATGTTCGAGTACTCGTGCACACATTAGCACAAATTGCAATTGCAAAACATGTGTGTGTGTGTGAGTGTGAGTGTGTCTGTCCTATCTAGTCGTGTCTATGTGGTGTGTGTGTGCATTTGTTTACGTGGTCAGACGGTTTTTATTTGCATTAAAATTGAGGTTAATAACTATGGGGCAGATTTGTTGCAACTGTCAATGCTTGTCCATTAGAACGCTTGCGTTCGTTCGATTTGATGCGTCAAATGGTCGATTAGTGTGACCGCAACCCCCACCAGTGGGCACTCGGCAGTCAGACGCGCTCGGTGGTACTCGCCGATTACAGAATCGTATATTATTATTGCCTCTAATCCAAACTCCATCCCTACCCTCCCAATCACCGAAACGCCAAACGTGTGAGTGAGTGTGGAGAAATCGCCCTAGTTGTGGCTGTTGTGTGGACAAGTGGCAGTAGTTCAGACCATTTAGCCACGTTAAATCCAACAAACGTCTAACTACAAAATTCAATATGAGGTAATCTATAGCAGAGGCAAGGTATTTTTTAGTTAGATCTGTATTTTGGTTGGGAGCCAAAGGGACTTTTTTTTGCGAATTTAAAGAGCAAAAAAAGTGTGTCTTGGATCCAGGCTTCTGTTATAGGATTGGATCAAGAAAAATTAGAGAATCTGCTCCAGAAAGTACACAAAACGAATATATATTATTTTTATCTTTGTATGTTTTAGCTATCATATGATATGATAGGAAGTCAATCGTATGGGGCAGCACTGGCAGTCTGGTGTGGTTTCGTCTATTGGGCAGCACTGTTAGCTGTCATTGTTTTCTGTGCTGCTCCGTTGCCGTTGCTGTTGCTGGCTGTTGTGTGTGGTGATACTGCGAGCCCCAGACAACTTTTGGCAATTAAATTAGCATTTGAGTTTGGCCGGTCGTATCGTTGCACATTATTATACTCGAGAGATTTAATGGCAAGTGCTGCTCATCTAATTAGTCTGACATGTGAGCTGCTATCAACCTGGCTGCCTGCATGCACATTCAGGTACGAGAACAAATTGGGGACGAGCCCCCCTGGGCGGGCGCTCGTGGATGCCGCAGACGACCTCAGGTCTCTGAGTGCAGCAAACTCCGTTCGGGCCGTTCCGTTCGTTACCTTTGATTATGCCGAAAATATTTCACAAAGAGAATATCGTTTGCATAATTGCTTTTTAATTACCATATTTTCCCCCCGAGTTTGTGCGTGTGTGTATCTCACTCTGTATCTGTTCGAAAGCAGGCAGCGCCACACTGCACAGACTCTCCAAAGTTAAACAAAAACGTCTTATTTTATTAGCCTCGTTTTGTGCCTGCCGCTGCTGCCGTCTGGCGGGCTGACTGGCATGTCTTTTCCTTGTTTTGCATACCCTACCCCCCTCTTAGGGTACAAGAAGAGCATGTACACATATTGTATGTGACAATTTTAATGACAGCGCTTTGTATGTGATTGGATGATACTCTTTAACAGATCTACATAGTTATCTATCTACATAAAACATAAAAAGATTACCCAAAATATACAAATTAAAATTTTGAATAAATGAATCACAATACATCACTATGTATCACTATATATGTATGTATGTATACCTACGATTCAATTAAGTTTTTTGACTAATGTCTTGAGTACTTTGCAATAGTTATGAAACCAGAATCATAGGTAGCCTCCAAGTTTAAATTTTAGATTAAGGCTATCAATAATATTAGAGGAATAGAGGAAATGCAAAGTTCCCAATTGAATACCTTTCTTTATTATCGAACAGGGTATTCCCTCAGTCGGAATATCCTACCAACAGCTACAGTGCTTAGTGTTCATTTTTTTTTTTTGTATCGTTGGTCAGAGCAGAGCCAGGCGACGACACGTACAAACGGAATGCTGAAAATGTACTTAATGTGTATCTTTGCGATCGTGTAAACGCAAAAATATTCGCCAAAGCCATAAAAACAGAACAATGAGCTAAAAAAAAAATGCGAATATATGCATGAAAATTAGCCGTGTAGGCAGGCAGGCTGGCTGGCAGGAAGGGTAGGGAAAGAGGCATGGGCAGGGGCGGGCAGTCCAGTCAGACAGTGATAAAATGTTGTTTTCTCTTTGGCTCGGAAACTTGTTTAATAATTAAAAAATCAGCACACTCACACGCGTACACACACGTGTAAAATATTAAATCGAAATATGAATCGGAATTAGAAACTTTCGACTTGAGACACCGACGAGACCCCGCTCTCGCCCCGTTTCCCGTACACAAGATTTTTGATAATAAGCATTGGTACACAGCTCTCCTAGCGGACGATTCCCATTGGGCCTGACATTCGATATTTTGGCAGAAAATTCACATTCCAGGCGTATTTCCAATTCTTTTTATGTGAACTTCCAAAAAATTAGTCTATTATTTAATAGAACTATTAATAAATGAGGAGAGTTACCAATTCGTTATTTAGTTTTTGCATGGGCCTAAAGGCTGGAAAATGAAATCCCAGAAAATCCAAGTGGCTGTACGTATCCATATAATTAACTGTGTACGATCATAGGAGTCGATGGACGTTCAAAGGCGCATTGCTTACCATTTCCCATTCCCCTCGAATTATCCAATTTGTGAAGCATACATTTCTGTAGTAAATCTAATATATAAATCATAAAAATTCGAATTTACATGCTAAATGCACAAATGCATTATTAAGTTGTCCACCAACCCACCACCCACCTACCACATTAGCACTGGTTGCCCACATATACTCGAGTACTCGAGTACACTGTCGCACGACCGACCATCCAATTCCATTCAAATTCTCATTCAATCAATCGCCTAGTTCCCAAACACGTCACCGTCCGCGTTCGTTGATGAATTGGCGTGAGAGTGAGACGCCAAGTGACAGCTGATTTACTGTTGCGAAACGTTGCTGCCGCAGGGTGGGGGGAGAGCTAAGAGCCTCACTGGAGTATCGTAACGCACGTGGAAACATCTGTCCCGCTGGTATGTGCCGCCACTCGCTATTGGTATGCATTTGTTTCTGTTTCTGTTGTGTACAGTTGTCAGTCAATGCGTCAAACGCAGAATAGCAGCAGGGAAGCGAACCCCCACGTCCTGTCTGTCTGTATGTCTGTCGCTAGAGATGGACTCAAGCCGTGACACGGAAGAGCACGAGAGCCCAAAATAGAGAAAAAAAAACAAATGTACTTACACTTTGATTTCGCATACTTTTAAGCACCGAATCCGACTGTACTTGTGGAAGTGGGTCAAATGGGACGTCATTCACGAAAATATGTGCGAATTCACGGATGATTGGCCCTTTTTCGTGGAATAGTAGAATTAAAAGCACCTGGCCTGTTCGTTTGACTCACGGGAGTACTTATTACCCATTCAAATTTGTCCCCAAGACAATTATCCACCCACAAATGAAATTATTTCAAAACTCGTGCTGCCGACTTTTCCCATGCCAATTGCCAATTTATAACTATACTTAGAATACTTAGTGACTTTGGCCCATCCAAATAGCTACTTAAAGGACATGACACGATATCAAAGTATAAGATGAGTTGCGGTTTTTTAAACGAAAAGAAAGGAATATCAGAATTGACTTGGAGGTGAATGCGCATCCGTGGTTAAAACCAGGCCCGCAACCATCTCTATATTTTTTGGTCCCTCTCTCGCTTGTTTCTGTCCGCTTGTCTGTCAAAGCTGTCCAGTCCTCGGATCTGTAAAAAGGCAACGCAACAACGCGCTGCCGGGATTGTTAGCCATTGTGCTTTATTTATTCGGACGGCGTTGATTATTTTTCTAAATTCTGTGCACATATTTGCATTCGTGCATTGAGAAGAAGTGACAGTCAGTGGCAGCAATAAGAAATAAGAACGGGTGCAATTAATCAAGGGCTAACAAAAAGAGGCACAAGTTGAGCGAGATCATAGGAAACTAAAGTGAATCGTAAGTAAGGAATGGGCGAGTGATGTGATATGGACACCCGCTTAGAGAAAGACATCGTGTACATTCGTTGATATCTACTCGTTATGTCTCTCGTAGTAGAGATTAGTAAGTAACGAGTGTACAAGTAATTCTATATGCTCACTCGCTTAAAGAAACACCTTACACTCGTTGATTCTATCCACTCGTTATTTCTACTGAATTGCTTCTGTTTCATCTGTTTCTAAAATTGTTGCTCTGCTTTGAAGTGTGGTGCAAAATTCATCACATGAGGAACGGTACGTGCAGTAGCAGCAGCAGTAGAGGCAGGGTGCACAGTGGGAACAGGTCGGGGCACACGAATTTATTATTAATAAAAGCCATGTAATGCCCGCTAATGCCACGTACATTCACATGCACATGCAAATCCACGGTAGAGAAGCATAAATATATCATATTGTATAAATATAAATACTAATGGTATCCGTTTACCTTTCTTTCCCCATTTCTATTGCAGGCAGACAGAAGAAGCTAGAAGACAGAAAGAAGCCACTTGCTGACTGATCATCATTCGGCCACCAGCCAGCCCCACAGTAAGAGCTGTAGGAGGAGCATCCGGAACAGGAACATAAACAGGAACACGACCATACCCAGGAGCAGCAGCAGACGTTCGGTGTAGGAGGAGTAGCGCATCAGCAGATCTTGTGGCGGAGGTGGAGCGGCGGTGCGCGCCTCTGTTACCCAAATCCAACATGTCTTCGCCAGCGGCCCAGAGCAACAGCACCCAGTCGCAGTCGTCAGCGTCGGCCCAGCAGCAGCAACAGAATCAAAAGGCGAACAACTCAAACAACACACACGACAACAAGAATGCCTCGGCGACGACGGGGACGGCAGCAGCAGCAGCCGACACCGCCACAGCAGCCTCCACAGCATCGACAGCTGGCGGCGGCAACGGAGGAGCTCCACAGAGCCCCACAAAACGGATCACAATATCGACCAAGGAGCGTGTGGTCGATAGCGTACCGTTTCCGCCAAGCCGCAAACTCACCTGCACGGACGTGTTCGATCCGCGGACCGGAAAGCCACAGCACGATGTACTTAAGCAGCACTTCATACTGGAGGGGCGTATCGAGGAGAGCGCCGCGCTGCGGATCATCCAGGACGGGGCCACGCTGCTGCGCCAGGAGAAGACAATGATTGACATCGAGGCGCCGGTGACGGTCTGTGGAGATATTCATGGACAGTTCTACGACCTGATGAAGCTATTTGAGATCGGCGGTTCGCCGGCCACCACAAAGTATCTCTTCCTGGGCGACTACGTGGACCGAGGCTACTTTAGCATCGAGTGCGTGCTGTATCTGTGGTCGCTGAAGATCACCTATCCGCAGACGCTGTTCCTGCTGCGCGGCAACCACGAGTGCCGGCACCTGACCGAGTACTTCACCTTCAAGCAGGAGTGCAAGATCAAGTACTCGGAGCGCGTTTACGACGCGTGCATGGACGCGTTCGACTGCCTGCCGCTGGCGGCGCTCATGAACCAGCAGTTCCTGTGCGTGCACGGCGGCCTGTCGCCGGAGATACACGAGCTGGAAGACATACGGCGGCTCGACCGCTTCAAGGAGCCACCCGCATTCGGCCCCATGTGCGACCTGCTGTGGTCCGATCCGCTGGAGGACTTTGGCAACGAGAAGAACTCGGACTTTTACACGCACAACTCGGTGCGCGGCTGTTCGTACTTCTACAGCTACGCCGCCTGCTGCGACTTCCTGCAGAACAACAATCTGCTGTCGATCATCCGGGCGCACGAGGCGCAGGACGCCGGCTACCGCATGTATCGCAAGAGCCAGACCACCGGTTTCCCCTCGCTGATCACCATCTTCTCGGCGCCCAACTATCTCGATGTTTACAACAACAAGGCGGCGGTGCTGAAGTACGAGAACAACGTGATGAACATCCGACAGTTCAACTGCTCGCCGCACCCCTACTGGCTTCCCAACTTCATGGACGTGTTCACCTGGTCGCTGCCCTTCGTGGGCGAGAAGGTCACCGAGATGCTGGTGAACGTGCTGAACATCTGCTCCGACGACGAGCTCATGACCGAGGAGAGCGAGGAGCCGCTCTCGGACGACGAGGCAGCGGCGCGCAAGGAGGTCATACGCAACAAGATCCGTGCCATTGGAAAGATGGCGCGCGTCTTCTCCGTGCTGCGCGAGGAGTCTGAGAGTGTGCTCCAGCTGAAGGGCCTGACGCCGACGGGCGCCCTGCCCCTCGGCGCCCTCTCCGGTGGCAAGCAGTCGCTCAAGAATGCCATGCAGGGCTTCTCGCCCAACCACAAGATTACCTCGTTCGCGGAGGCCAAGGGCCTCGATGCCGTCAACGAGCGGATGCCGCCCCGTCGCGATGCCACACCCTCGCCGGCGGAGGAGGGCCAGAAGACACTGTCGGCGGCGGCAGCAGCAGCGGCCAATGCAAATGCGAATTCAATCACAGGATAATTCTAAGTCAGACAGCAGTCGGCAAAGCGATCGGCTGGATCAGATGAGCGGATTGGAGGAGCGGAGGATTGGATCTTGGGCTTTTTGGAATCTTGGGGAGCGGAGGTCAGTTGATAGTCGAAAGTTAAGTGAACAGTTGGGAGGGAGATTGCGAATAAATAGGAACAAATATTCTCAAAAGAGCGGCTTAGTGTCAGAAAAAGAAAACAAATACACAACGCCCCACAGACGCAGCCACACAGGCATTCAAGACGGTTAAGGCCAGGGATGCACGCAAGCGCAGAATCGAAACGAGTGGAATGGAACGCAACGGCAACTGCAACTGGAAATAATAATGCAAATTGTAAGAGAGAAGAGGAAACAAAACAAAAACACAGAGAACGCAGAAAACAATAAGAAAAGAGGCAATTTTTTTTGGGTTTGAAGAGAATGGAAGATGATGAAACGTGAAAAAGAGAAGAAGAAAGAAAATTCAGCACCCCAAGTGGATGCTAATTATAAATGCAGTTGAAAAGGAAATATAGAATTATTATACAATACAGAAATGTATATACAAATTTTGTGCAACATTATATCAAAAGAGCAAATGTAAAAGCTAAGCGAGGCTCTCTCTCTCTTCGACAGCAGCATTGCCCCCCAAGAAAATTAGGTAAATTTAAATTATGTTTGCTAACTAATTGTAAAACGAATTGAAACAAACAAAAAAAAGAACCCAACAGCAGTGGCGCTCCCTTTACCCCCCCCACCCCACCCCGCTCCGATATTTGTTAAGTGAAACCAAAAAAAAAAACAAAAAAACAAAAAACAAAAAAGAGCAAATGAGAAGAGAATCTACATCTAGAGCATTAATACTAAGCTGGAACTACGAGTAATACTAAAAACAAAAAAAAGAAGCTAAAGTGAATTCTACTATTTTCGTTGTGTGGCGACGGCCTCTTGGGTGACTTATATATACACACATGTAATATACATATGTGCGCGGGTGTATTATTTAGGAGATTATGGCCAAGGAGAAGGCTTCTTCAACAGAGAAAACTACTTCCTACAACAGTAAAAAAAAAAAAAAAAAAAATCAAACAAACAGCAAACAAATTACAACAGCAACAATATTTTACTACAATGTTTTATTACAAGAACAAGAAACGACTGAATCTCTATCTCTCTCTGTCTCTATCTGACTCTTTCTCTCTCACACAAAAACACACCTACACACACTCACAGACAGACAGACAGACAGACACACACACTAATGCAGGATGATCACGCTAAAAGTTGGATCGTTCCTCGCGTTTTTATCGTCGCCATTGTCGCCTCACACTCTCTCTCATCTGGTGATTGTGTATGTGGTCTTTATATACGTGCCATCTTTGTCGTAGTCATTAGCTGAATACTATATAAATGATATACAAGATACGGGTACGGGTACATTATATGTTGGTTTTAATTGTACGAGTAACAACCCGATGGATGGCTGCACCGATCCTCATTGCAGGGGCAACACAGAGAACGAGAAAGAATCTGAATCTGCCTTGATTTCCCCCCACGATATTTCCATCTATATATTTGTTCCACATGAATCTCATCTCATCCACCATCCACAGCCGGTCCGTTTCCTGTAAGTCTCTCTTTCTCTCTCTCTCTCTGCCATTTGCGCCTGCGTTGTTGTCGTGTGCAGAATCCTTTTTATACTTAATGGAATTTTAGTTATTAAAAGTCAACCGATCATGTTAAAGAATTCGGATAGTGCGGAAAAACTAAACTGAAAACGAAACGTGAAAATTGTGTGCGAACGGGAATTTTGTTATATTTCTTAGTTATTATTCTATACACCTTTTTTATATATACATACATAAATTTCTTGTTATCCTTTTTATAATTTGTATTTATTGTAAACTATTTATACACACACAAACCCACACACACACACACAATCAGCGAGCATAATATGAATACAAAAATATATATATTTATAAACTAAATTGTTGTTTCTACTTCTACCTATGTTTTTTTTATATCTATATATATATATATATATATATTGCTATATACCACACTTTTTTCTATAGGCCATAAGTAATTTAATTAAATGAATTTATTAAAATGGAAATGAAGAAAAAAAATGGAAAAAAATATACGAGCATGTAACAAAATGGGGCGTGCAACAAGTTTTCTTAAACAAAAATAAAATTATATTCTAAAAACAAAAAAGTAAGGGAAAATAATTAAAACCAAAACCAAACTATGTGAATTTACTATTAAGTTTAAATTATACAACAAACATGAAAGGGAAATGAAAACAAAAAAAAAAAAAAAAAGAAATGAAAGCAAATAACGTTTACAAAAATGAAACAACAAAGTATGTTATAGAAAAAGCAAAAAAAAAAAAAATAATAAATTTTCAACTTCGACAAGATGACAAGAACAACAAAATCCAAGAAAATGAAACCAAATTTAAAGATTTCTAGAAAATCGTAATACAAAATGCAAACTTATAGCAATTTGAAGTACTTTATAATGAAATATACCTACACACATATGCCTAAGACAAACGCATACACGAACACAAGTGTGCCCAAACAGAAAACATATATATATATACATAGATATATATATATATTTGCAAAACAATTGAGGCAGAGTGGAGCCGGTGACGAAAGGAAGGAAGTAAGAAGGAGAGGGGCGAGAATATACAATACAAATGCAGAAGCAGCAGCAACAAACAGCAATCACAAGTGCAGTAATAAAGAAAATACCGTTGACAAATTCGAATAAGTTGTTAGTGATGGCAGGAGGCACGCATGCGCGCACTGAGAGCTGCTCAAGTGAGAGCAGCTACAGGTACAACTGGAACAGTCGTGCATCGTTAATCGTGCCTAGCAGCAGCAGCAGCAGCAGCAGCGTTATCAAGCAGTTAAATAATGGTTAAAAATTATTTACATTTATATATATATTTACATACAATACCTAAATATAAAGCAGTTTAAAGTTAAGAGTTTCACACACAAAACAAAACACAGACAGACACACAACAAACACACAGAAAAGTTTACAACAAGTTTATGCATTTCAATTCACGAGAAAACAAAAACGAAAACGACGGAAAAAACCAATACAAATAATAATAAATATATATATATATATACATATATATGAATATATAAACAATAATTACAATTACAGCCAATAATGGATTACAGCAACCTCAAAGCTCTTACTATTATTTTTAAAAGTAAATTGAGTAAAATGAGACATTTTTAACAAATAAAATTACTACCGCTACCCACAAATATGCATATACATACATGTGTATGTATGGTATATATAAATAATATACTTTTCTCCTCCAAGAACGTTTCCCACAATACCAGCAATACCAAATTAGCGCGCTCTTCTAAACAAAACAAAATAAAAGAAAAAAATAAATTAAATTAATATACACATACTATATGGCAAGGAAACCAACAAAAAACATATATGAAAATCTAACATATTACGACTAAGCGATTAATATACGGCAAAACAAATACTTTTATACTATATACACGAAAGCCTAAAAACTAAACAAAAAGCTAAAGAAATTAACGGTAACGATAACGACTCTCCTCTCTCTTTCACCCACTCTTTTCTCTCACGCTCTCTCCTCTCTGCACTACTCTCCATGCCCAAGGCTCACTCAAAAGCTCTCAACTTCAACTCCAAGTTCGACCTTGACTTCGACTCTTTTTCTCGTCTCGTCTCGCTCACTCTCAATCTCGTTCTCTCTCTCTCTCTTTTCAATGACCTAACCCAAAACCAAAAAAAAACAAAACCAACCACACTTTTTAACGGTAAATTTTCTACTACACAAAAATATGAATATAAATAAAAAAGAATAGTACATACAAATTACAGCAAAGAAAAAAATTTCCTTTTAACGAAAATATCAAAAACCAAAAAATCTCTACATATATTTAGATATACGATAAATGAAAGAAAGAACAAAAACAAAATGAAAAAACCAATTCTATTTTAAGTTTTTAATCGAGAAAAGCGCATCAAACATTAAAAATTTTCAAATATTTGTTTGGAGTTCGTCTCGAGGCTTTTGTTGACCATTTTTAGCCATTTGTTAATTTGTTGATTAGCTTGAACTATGTACAATCAAATCAGATACTTAACTCGTTTTATATAAACTAATTTTGTTAATCAATTCTGTTGTTCCCTATCGAATTTATAAGTATATAGTCATATGTATATGATAAACAAAAAAAAAACAAAACAAAAAGGAATAGGGGAAGTTAATTGTTCTAGTTTTGGATTCATCTCCAGTGCAAGTGAAAAATCCTTTCATCATTTTTTTTGATACATGTATTTTTCAACATCTACTTCCTGCCCTCAAATGCTTTAAAAACTTTACACAAAAAAACAAAACAATTTAATATAACATATATTATAAAAAATGAAAACAGAAAGAAGGGAAAACCATAAAGATGATGAAGAAAACCCAATGAAAAAAAAAAAAATTAAAACTTTACCTTTTGGATAAATCAATTTAAATGCATATTTTATATATATTTAAACATTTATTTATATATAATATATATGATAATTATAAGTTGGAGAAACTTTGTCAAAGAAAAAAGTTTATATACTTATATATTTAAAAATAATGAAATAATATTAAAAATGCAACATAATAAATTAACAAACAAGAAAAAACATCACATCTAGATAAATCTCTTAAAAATTTTCAATTTTATTATTAAACCAAAACCAAAAGTGAATAAATAAACAAATTTAACAATGAATGCATTATTATATATTTGTGTGTACATATGTATGTATGTGTGTGTATATATGTTTATATACATACATACAGACAGACATATGTATATATATACATATGTAGGAGTATGTATATGGGATTTATAAATGTATTGCATGGGCAGATGGCTGGCAAAGCTTACTTAAAAATTGCGCTGGTGTGGCAACAACAAAAACACGTTGTATCCAATCCGAGGATTAACAAATTAACTTACAAGGGGAAGATGGAAGATGACAACAGCAACAAAATGCAGACAAAAAGTTTTAACATTAAGCGAATAAAACAAAGAAAACCAAATGATTATCAATGTTATTAACATACATAATTAATATTAACAGCAAAAACAAAACAAACAAAAAAAAACTGAGAAAACAATACAAAAACATTAAAAAAACTATACAAGTACCTATCCTGAGAATAAAATGCGCGCACATTTATTATTTCCTCTAAATGTTCGTTTGTGTATGGGGAAAGTTCCCCAGGGAATTTCAGCATTTGAAACGTAACGGTTGCCATCGATCTGTTGCGCGCACCACCTCCAAGTATCGATACAATGTATATCATATTGTATATCCAAGCCCTGGAATAAACTTAAAGAATTTTTCTTGTCATCGAATCGGGATTTTGATTGGAAAGGTATATCGGTATAGTATATAGGTATATTAAACCAATTTCAACAATCTGTTGAATTTCATTGTTAAAGGTTCATAAATTAACGGTAAAAGGGTAACAGATTTTTTTTTTCAAATTTCGCTCTCAAATTTTGGTGGATTCGATTTTTGCTATATTACAAATTATCCAATAATTATCGCATTGAAACGTGCGAGATAGGAACATCCCAGATGGATGGTGGAATGACTGGGAAATTTTCGGAACGGCAAAACCTTACGGAACATCCCTGAAATTGGATGGTGGATGGTCACCTGTGGGAATAGCTACTAGCTAGCTAATAATATTAAGCCGAATATCAAAATCGGGGAATATGATTTCCGATTACCAAAACAGAACGTTAGCCCATTGTCGACCAGGGGGTGTTCCAATTCTGTCACGACAATTTTGAGACATGAAATATGTCAGCGCAGTTCAATTAACGACATCGTTATATTTTTGTATACGAATTAATAGAATCTAAAATTAGAATTTACAAACAGTGGGTATTCAGCGGTTTAACTGAAGTTGTTCACCTCTTTAAATAGAGGGGGGGTTAATTGGGCTAAGATAGTTCACTTACTCATAATTTATGGTATATCGGCATGTAAAACAGTATACTTCTTAAAGTTTCTGGTATGTTAGGTATATTTCTGAGGGTCATTTTATCGATAAGTCCTAGGAGCGAAAGAAAGAAAAAAAACGTAGCGCAAGAGAGAAATTACGACGTCTGCAGGGTCAAGACGAAGCGAAAATAGACAAAATACTAAGTGAATATGATTGTTGTTGAGTAAAAACAGCGCATAACGAACACGGCCAGTGGCAGAAACAACAGCGAAACTGTTAATTTGCTTAAATCAAAGCTGGAAGGCGATAAAGCGGCTAAGCTCCAACAACAGCAGCAGCAGTAAAAGCAGCGCAGCAACAAAAGCAACAACAACACCAGCAGCGCAGCAGTAAAAAGTGCCAGTGTGGTGTGGGTTGTTTTGTATGTGTATGTGTGTTTGTGGAAATTGAGCCAGGAGGTGGGACAGGGACAGGAATAGTCACACAGGAACAGGAACCAGAGGAACGCCAACGCGAACGCAAACGGGAACGGGAACGGTGAGAGAGAGAGAAAGAGAGTGTGAGTGCAAGGGAGTGTGAGTGGGTTGATAGAGAGGATTCGGAGTCGGAGAACGCAGTCAAGTGGAGAGAGCTCCAATCCAGAGGAGCAGCTCCAACTCCAGCATCAGCATCAGCCATGTCTTCGAATAATCAATCAAGCGAAAGCCAAGTGGCAACAAGTGCCAGCCAGCAGCGAGCCAGCAACGCCTCCACCGCTGAAGCCACAGACGCCAACAGCTCCTCCGCCGCCGCCGCTGGTGACGTTGGCTCTTCCACTGCTGCTGGCAGCGTCGCCGCCACTTCCTCCTCCTCCTCCCAGGCCAGTGCCAACGCCAACGCGAGCAACTCAAACGCCGCGGATCACGATGGCAGCCCCACAAAGCAGGGCAAGCCCCATGGTGGCCATACGGCGGTCAACACCAAAGAGCGTGTGGTGGATAGCGTCCCCTTCCCACCCAGCCACAAGCTGACGCTGGCCGAGGTCTTCGATCCGCGCACGGGCAAACCGAATCACGACGTCCTGAAGCAGCACTTTGTTCTGGAGGGGCGTATCGAAGAGGCGCCCGCCCTCAAAATCATCCAGGACGGGGCCGCGCTGCTACGTCAGGAGAAGACAATGATCGACATCGAGGCGCCAGTGACGGTTTGTGGGGACATACACGGCCAGTTCTACGATCTCATGAAGCTGTTCGAGGTGGGCGGTTCGCCGGCCACCACAAAGTATCTCTTCCTGGGCGACTACGTGGACCGAGGCTACTTCAGCATCGAGTGCGTGCTGTATCTGTGGTCGCTGAAGATCACCTATCCGCAGACGCTGTTCCTGCTGCGCGGCAACCACGAGTGCCGGCACCTGACCGAGTACTTCACCTTCAAGCAGGAGTGCAAGATCAAGTACTCGGAGCGCGTTTACGACGCGTGCATGGACGCGTTCGACTGCCTGCCGCTGGCGGCGCTCATGAACCAGCAGTTCCTGTGCGTGCACGGCGGCCTGTCTCCGGAGATACACGAGCTGGAGGACATACGGCGGCTCGACCGCTTCAAGGAGCCACCCGCATTCGGCCCCATGTGCGACCTGCTGTGGTCCGATCCGCTGGAGGACTTTGGCAACGAGAAGAACTCGGACTTTTACACGCACAACTCGGTGCGCGGCTGTTCGTACTTCTACAGCTACGCCGCCTGCTGCGACTTCCTGCAGAACAACAATCTGCTGTCGATCATCCGGGCGCACGAGGCGCAGGACGCCGGCTACCGCATGTATCGCAAGAGCCAGACCACCGGTTTCCCCTCGCTGATCACCATCTTCTCGGCGCCCAACTATCTCGATGTGTACAACAACAAGGCGGCGGTGCTGAAGTACGAGAACAACGTGATGAACATCCGACAGTTCAACTGCTCGCCGCACCCCTACTGGCTTCCCAACTTCATGGACGTGTTCACCTGGTCGCTCCCCTTCGTGGGCGAGAAGGTCACCGAGATGCTGGTGAACGTGCTGAACATCTGCTCCGACGACGAGCTCATGACCGAGGAGAGCGAGGAGCCGCTCTCGGACGACGAGGCGGCGGCGCGCAAGGAGGTCATACGCAACAAGATCCGTGCTATTGGCAAGATGGCGCGCGTCTTCTCCGTGCTGCGCGAGGAGTCCGAGAGTGTGCTCCAGCTGAAGGGCCTGACGCCGACGGGCGCCCTGCCCCTCGGCGCCCTCTCCGGTGGCAAGCAGTCGCTCAAGAATGCCATGCAGGGCTTCTCGCCCAACCACAAGATTACCTCGTTCGCGGAGGCCAAGGGCCTCGATGCCGTCAACGAGCGGATGCCGCCCCGTCGCGACCAGCCGCCTACGCCCAGCGAGGATCCGCACAATCCACAGTCATCACATCACAGTCAAGGCAACAGCAACAATGGTGCGGCGCATGGGTAAGCGGCATGCCACAGATCGGATTGAGTGTGCTGGCAGGCGGTACAGCAGTGGTACGAAGTAGAGTGGAGTGGAGCAGACCAGAGCAGAGTGGAGATAGAGGCAGTGACAGTGGCAGTGTGGATAAACCTAAGAGACATTTATTTAGTAAAGTGTCAACGATTTGTCGTTTTAGCTAAACATCATTCTGTAGCTGTAACTGAACCTCAAGCTTGGCCCGAAGCAGGAACGGAAACGGAAGAACACCAACAAAGAAAATTCTTAATTAAGCTTAAAGTGTGGCAGAGCAACAACTTAAACAAATCAACAAAACAAAAAAACCCAATCTAATCTAAGTATAAATGTAACACAGCTCCCAGCTCCAGCTCCGACTTTTGACCACTTTCACGACCACTTCTGGATGCATGCAGCAGCAGCAGCAGCCGATTAATTTGTTTTAGCGCAGGCGCGCATCGCGGCGCACATTGGATATTAGAATTATGTGTTGCATACTTTGGCGGGCCGGCCGCAAGAATTCCTTTTCTCAAGAAAACCCCAAACCCAGAAAACAAAATCCCCCCATAATTCTTAGCTTAAGTTGTAATGTATAAAAAAAACAAAAAAAAACCGAATGGGGAGAAAAACCTTTAATGAAAAATGAACAAACACAAAAAAAAAAAAAAAACAAAAAAAAGAAAGTAAAACTAAATGAAAAAAAAAATGATGGTAAAAATCCAGCGCTAATCTGTTAAAAACATTTAGCAGCGCCAAAAAGAAGCGAGCATATATACATATGGAATATATAAATATATATTTAAATATCGATCTATAACTAAACCAATATGAAGATGAAGATGAAAAACATGAATTGAATTTGAACAAACACAAAAAAAAAAAACAAAACAAACATACTTTTGTGCAATCCTTGTCTTGTAATCCATAACATAAACTTGAAAAGCATGAGAATGAATGATGAGAGATAGAAGAAACCAGTTTGCAATATGTGCCGCAATAGTCCATAAATGTTCCTTATACGAATTAAACTTGAAAAACAAAACCAACAAAAGAAGAGTTTACCTTTTTTTTATATGTATACATATATAAATATATATATATATATTTATATTCTATTAATTAATACATAAATGCATATATCTGTATAATTGTTGCTTAATATAACTTTCGACTTAAATCTGTTACATATTCGATGTACTATCTGTGTGTATGATGGACGCTGCGTGTGAGGCGGCTGTATGGTTTATTGCGTTTTATCAACCGAATCAACCCAAATCGAGTCTATGTTATCATTAACATGTAAAGAGTAAAGAGGAAGAAGTTAAGTTAATTAGTTAATGAATATGATGCATTTTAAATGATTGATTGATTCAAACACACACACACACTCACACACCGACACCCACACAAAGCGGAAACAAAGCGTTGCCATTTAACTAGCAAATCAGATATTTAACTAATAATTACTGAATAGAAATGTAATTGATAATATACATATATCCCGCCCCTTGTGTACATTGAACTACTCGTAGAACACCATTTTATTTCTGTTGAATACACACGCCAGAGAGGGTTACCTTTCGGTTATTTCTCGAGGTGTTTTTTTTTCTTTATTTCTACTGAACAGACACACACACACACACACACACTTAACGATGCAAGTTTTTGAGATAGAGATTCCAATTAAGTAAAAATGTAGTTAATTAAGTATGTATATTGTATAAGGCATGGAACGCTGTGGAACAGGCGTTTCAATTCAATTCAAGAGATGGCAATCAATTCCTTCTACTTCCACCCTTCCCCACCCAATTCTATGCAGCGTACGCTTGTTCCGCGCAACGCGTTCGAATAGTGTTGCAAGAGAGAGATATATATAGTATTAATAGCCGACTTTCCAATGTCAAATCAAAATATATACATATATACGAATATATATATATTATGAATATACGCATTGTAATAGGGAGAATCACACAACAGATGCCTTCATCCAGCTTCCCGTCACACCACACACACAACCAACACGCTCTTCGGACTCAGCTCCAGTTTCGCTTCGTTTCGACTCGAGTCCATTTCCCCCCGCACGGCTGTACTTTGCTTCGATTCTGCAAAACCACCATACAATACACCCTCCTCACCCTTCAACTTAATATTAATATACAAGTACATATATGAGGCATATGGTATATATGAGGAGTTACGATTGGATAAAACAATTAGTTTTTAGTGTAATATGCACACACACACACACACCACACACACACACCCACACGAAACACACGTATCGTCAAGCTACCAAAAATTATTTCAATCGTAGTTAACTAAACAAACAAATTCCATTTCCCGAATAGAGTGGAAGGAAACTTAGCTTTTATAAAAGAGACATCTACCCAACTTATTGAGAGATGGCTACCACATACACAAATATACATATATTATAGTGACACTATTTTTTTTTGTTTGGATTCAGCAACAGAACAGAACACAAACATACACCAAGACAAGAGGAAGAATGAGAACAAAAGCATAAACTAACTATATAAATATTAACAAAAATCGACAAAAATGATATGATATGATGAACAAGAATAGAACAAGAATATAGTTTAAGTATGTCCGTTTCCTCTATTGTTGTTGAAAACTGTTAAATCGCAAATGCATATTTAGTTAGTACGGTGGTAAATGAAACTGGGGGGAAAGAAAACAAAAAACACTGAAACCAATTGCAATTTGAAATTGATTGATTCCACAAGTCAAGTATACAGAATGAGAAAACACCAAAATAATATGGATAAATACCAAATATGGTAAAGTATTATATGAAGCATAATGTCTAACCAAAAGATCGATTTGCTTAGCTCTTCCCACACTCACACACGCACTCCAACTCGCGCCCATTCCATAAGTAACTCTCTCTTAGATGAGTTGGCGGTGACTCTGCCCTTTCGATATATGGCAAATACACGCCACTACATACATAATACATATTTACTTGCCTATATAGCGAGAGATGGAAGAGACGGAGATGCAGATCTTTAGATTTTGATAATATATCAAGACCATACTAAATACTTTATGGATCCATTAATCGTTGAACCAACCCAAAGCATAAACCGAATCAAAAAGGAGCACACGTTACTGTTAAAGCGCGATCAGGGCGGGGATAGTGTGTGGCGTGGCCCGAGATAAAGATGCATTCCAGAACAGAAGTCGTGCATGGTACTTACATACATATATAAGACATTTCGCCTCTTAAAGCAATTATAAAGATAACAAATGAGTAATGTTTATTATATTATTAAATTATATATACATATACATATTATATAAACAAAATAAAATAAATCAGCAGCAAAATTTCCATTTTATGGCCTTTTTCTTGGGGAAATTTTAACGGAATTTTCGCAATTAAAAAAATTCGACAATATTTTTTTTTGTCTCTAACGTTTAAACATTCAAACGTTTTACATTTTACATTTTATGAACTGGAACCGGTGAATTCCCCGCTTTTTCGTGGTGGGAGCAGCATTTTCTTAACGGGAACTTGGTTGAACAGCAACACTGACGTCACACTTAGTCAACATTTACATATTATGCTTTGGCCGTTTTTTTTTGAACCTTTTTATGCAAACAATGCAATAAAATGGACTGCTGAAAACTAGCCAATCTTGTAGAAAATTGATGTGTTTATCGGATAAAATTATCTGTTTAGGGCTGAGAGGGCTAACTAGCTAGTAATATTAAACTGAATATCAAAATCATGGAATACGATTTCAATCAATAAAATAGAACGTTAATCCATTGTCGACCAGGGGGTATTTAATATTTCTACGAAATTTTTATAACTTTAACATATTTTACGCATTACAGGTGAAATATGTCGGTGGTCATTTCTGTTTTGTAAGTAAAGAGGAGGATGGAGCACCAAGAAGCCTTTACAAACAGTACTATTTTCCGCGGTTTAACAAACGGTGCTCAGCTTTTTAAATAGAGGGGTGCTAGGTGGGTTAAGTCTCGTTTAATCGCCGGACTGCCCTGGTTTGTTTATGGTATGGTATTTAAATGGTATTTCTCGAAACTGAAATGGTATTTACTGGTATTTATTTTTTGGCCGCATGGTATTTTTTATCGTTATCGTCACGGTCACGCTGGTGCCGTGTTTTTGTACCGCCGCAAAAAAAGAAAATCGAAATAATATAGCTGCTGTGTAACCACTATCCCTTTTAAAACTTATTAGTTGTGTTACATTATGCTAAAGTATTACCTATCATAGCACACAGTAATTTTCGAGCAGCGGAAACACGGTAAAGAGGGAAAAACTGATTCTCGCGCCAGCATGCCTTTCTCTGTGTGGGTGTGTGTATGAATGAAGTGTGATTGTGTGATTGTGTGCTTGGTGTGGGAAAGTAAAGTGTATGATTAAGTGCAGTCGCTGGGCGGCCGCAATAACCATTCAACAGTCAACAGGAAACGCCATCGCTCATCCCGCTTCTTTTTCTCGTTGCAAAACAGAGCCTTCCCCCAACATTCGGTGAAACTCAACTAAGAGCAGACCAGAGCAGCAGCCGCGGACAGTTTCCAGTTCCAGTTGGTGCCCCAAAAAAATGGATAGCAAGGGACGCAATGTCATTGTCTGTGATAACGGCACAGGGGTAAGATATCAATGTTCACATCCAAATTCTAAGCCGATTTCACCCTGCGATCGCTGTGACACACATTTCTGGACCGCCGTCGCCGCTGCCGCAGCAGATTCTTGTAGGTTAAGCAGTGCTTCCATGGAACTGCTTGACTGCTTCGGGCGTTGACGTTGAGGTCGGCGCGACGCTGCGGGAGTGCAGTATTGGTGCAGGCTAGTGCATTGTGGTGGAAGAGGTCGCTGCCTCTGCTTCTACATCTCGTGCTGCGCTGCACCCGCTTTAGTCATTGCTACCGCTGACCGTCGTCGATATGGTATTACTCACCCAACTCAAATGTTACGCATACCCTGACACACACCACATACACTTATACACAAACAAAACACGCCCAAACTGCCGAAAGAACGGCGGCTATGGACGCCTATGGTATTTTCTGTTCAATCTTATGCCTTATCGCGCAAAAGATAACGGTAATAGTGGTTCCATACCGAACCGATATACGAAAGCAGCTGGCGGCTAAAACTGGAACACAAACAAACAACGACTTTCTAACACTCTTTCTCTCTCTCTCTCTATCTTTGTGATTGCAGTTTGTGAAGTGCGGCTATGCCGGCAGCAATTTCCCCGCCCACATTTTCCCCTCGATGGTGGGGCGACCCATTATCCGGGCGGTGAACAAAATAGGTGACATCGAAGTGAAGGTATGACCAGCGTAATATCCGATTTCGACCGACCATCCTTAAACAAAACAAAAACAAAACATTTAAAACAACAAACAAATAACACCAGATAGGAAGAGGAACACCGTGCCACATTCATACGTATACATAGAAATTAAATACTCTCCAGTACGGTGCTCTATCCTCTCTACTTACCCGTATGTGGTACTAGTATATGGGCATGGACAAGTTACCAAATTAGCTACCAGTAATCAGTTGCTGGTATTAAGTGATTTAACTAGCTGCTGCTTACTTCTCCGCTTGCCAATCGATAAAAACTGATAAGTAAGCAGTAGCTACCTGTGGCTACTGGTAACAAGTTTGGTAACTAGTTACAAGTAACAGAATAAAAGCCTCTAAAATACAGCTGGGTATTGTACTGGAGGGTATGAACAGGCTCATCTTCCACACATACACTTACACTCACACACCATTTAGTTTGGTAATTTCTTTATATATAACTTATTCAAGAACTAGCAAGAACAAAATTAGCGACTAGAAATTCACATTCCATAACCACTTCACCCCCTACATACAGACACACGCTCTCTCTCTCTCTTTCTCTCTCTGTCTCTCATCTGATTATGTTAGCTGAAACAAATTGTTCTATTCTATTCTATCTATTTAGTGTGGCATAGTTACATATATTCATTATGATTTACTACATACATACCCCTTGCATACTCCACTTCACTTCATTTCACCGTTTTCCTTTCTTTCCATCATACATATGATCTCATTGCATTTTGTCTTGAGTTGCATCCCCCATGGGTGGCTTTCATTTGGTCTTGGTTTCAATGGTGTGTGATGTTACCTGTTATACACGCATAAGTGGCATAAAAGTGCAGTCTCCTGGGGCTGGGGGCGATGCCCATTCATAAATAGTATAGTAGCTCTAAGTTTGGCTTTCGGTTTTTGGGTTCAGGTCGGGGCTTAGCACTTAAGATGGGCGACTCAGACCAGATAAGATCAGACCACAAAAAGCCCGTCTGCTTTTTTCTAGTGCATTTTCCTATCTGATACCATCACCTATACTATATCCTACTATATCCAATATATCTTTCCTAGCATTTGCTGGTTTTTAAGTTTGAACAAGAAACAACAAGCAAAACGATATTAAAAAAAAAAACTATAAACAAACGAATCGTTCTATTCATTTTTAATATTCTTATACCATTTTCTGTTCTTTTTTTTACATATTTTTTTGAAAATACAAATATTTTGCAGGATTTACATGTCGATGTAAGTCAAGTTTTTATAGTTTACAAAAAAAAAAAATTCCCCTTAATTAATTCCAAATGTTAAAAGTAATTCACACAACAACAACAGCAACAAAAAAATCAAAACAAATCCAAAATCAATTTTCATTCGAAAAAGGTTAAATAATAAAAATTTCAAATATAACGAGATGGAACTTGTGAGTCGCTTCTTTTGACGCGACTCTACTTTTATACCCGTACTCAGTCAGTACATAAATATGTGAGCTTATGATTTATACAATACAATTTATATTATAGATCCAACATGTAGATTCTACATGTACCATTTAGATGGTTCATCTTCTCCGCTAGTCTCTTGCTGGAGGAGGTGGGGGAAGCAACTGAACATTAATTTCTTCATTATGGCTATAAAATTGATCCAATCTATATCAGATTCGGCACTCTGATAGATATGGTTATTCTCTACGATACTGCTTAATTTTTAGCTTTATCGTATCTTTAAAATTGTGGCTGCCACAGATTTTCGTCCTTTGTGGAGGCGGAAGGGGCGATCATCAGGACGTACTATTCGAGTACGGGTATAAAAATATACACACACACGCGCCCACAGACACGCTTAAAAAGATATTCGAAGAGTTTGAAATTTGATGTCGAAACTGTTCAATTCGAGACGTGATCCATTTAAAACCTCAATCAAACCAACAGAAAACAATCCAAAATAACTAAAAACTAATTTAAATCGAAATCGAAATTTTTGTTATTTAACATTTTTTTGTCTGGGTTTTTGAAACCATAAAAAACGATTTTGTTTTGTGGTACATACTCATAGTGCTACCATTCGTTGTTGTTGTATGCACATTCTTTTCTTTGTTAGTGCTATTAGCGTTGTTGTAGCTGTTTTTAATTGTTAATTATTTGATGCATGACTTGCCTGTGGCTTAGCTGAAGTTCTTTTAGTTTACGTAGTTATTTCCAAGACATTCCAGAAGTTATATTTGGTAGCTGAAACAACTGAGCTTCTGGAATGCGCGCATGCACTCGTTGCTTTGTTTGTTATTGCACGCTGCTCGTTAATTGTTTTTGTTCATTTGTTTAGTTTAGATTTGTTACATTTAGTTTTGGATTGTAGTCCATCTGACTGTTTAAGCCCCACACCCCAAGCCCCACCCCATTTGGTTCTTGTCTGTATCTATCGCCCTTTTGTTTGTGTACATATGTCCAGAGCTAATGCCTCAACCCTCAACCTTCAACTGCTCCCAATCCCAGATTGTCAAGAGAAATATGTGATGTGGCCACTAACGATGCAAAAAATATGCAAACAAAAAACCAAACTTTCAGGATCTGATGGTCGGCGATGAGGCCTCGCAGCTGCGATCATTACTGGAGGTCTCCTATCCGATGGAGAACGGCGTGGTCCGGAACTGGGATGACATGTGTCATGTGTGGGACTATACGTTCGGGCCCAAGAAGATGGACATCGATCCGACCAACACAAAGATACTGCTGACAGAGCCACCCATGAATCCCACAAAGAATCGCGAGAAAATGATTGAGGTAGGTCGTTCGTTGCATGTTCATTTTCAGTCCATGTCCATCGAGATGTGCGTTTATCAATCGTTTTATTTTCGCCTCTAAACCAGGTGATGTTCGAGAAGTACGGCTTCGATTCCACATACATTGCCATTCAGGCTGTGCTAACGCTATACGCCCAGGGCCTGATATCGGGCGTTGTTGTCGATTCCGGCGATGGAGTAACGCATATTTGTCCTGTCTATGAGGAGTTTGCCCTGCCACATTTGACGCGTCGATTGGATATTGCTGGACGTGATATCACCCGCTATCTGATTAAGGTGCGTCCCAGATCCATGCCATGCGTCTGATACTGATTGATAATCCCGATAATCTCTTGCAGTTACTTTTACTACGTGGATACGCCTTCAATCATTCCGCTGACTTCGAAACGGTCCGAATTATGAAAGAGAAGCTCTGCTACATTGGGTACGACATCGAGATGGAGCAACGTTTGGCGCTGGAGACCACGGTGCTGGTTGAGTCCTATACGTTACCCGATGGCCGGGTGATCAAGGTGGGCGGTGAACGATTCGAGGCACCCGAAGCATTATTCCAACCGCATTTAATCAATGTCGAGGGCGCTGGCATTGCGGAGCTGGTCTTCAATACGATCCAAGCGGCGGACATTGATATACGGCCCGAGCTCTACAAGCATATTGTCCTGTCTGGTGGCTCCACCATGTATCCGGGTCTGCCCAGTCGATTGGAGCGCGAGATCAAGCAATTGTATCTGGAGAGAGTGCTGAAGAATGATACGGAAAAGCTGGCGGTATGAATAGATTGCTTTATTTTGTACGAAATTTATTCTGAATTGATTTTTTGGGTTTTTGTTTTAGAAATTTAAAATACGCATTGAGGATCCACCGAGACGGAAGGATATGGTCTTCATTGGCGGCGCCGTTCTGGCGGAGGTGACAAAGGATCGGGACGGCTTCTGGATGTCCAAGCAAGAGTATCAGGAGCAGGGTCTGAAAGTATTGCAAAAGCTGCAAAAGATCAGTAACTAGGAGCAGGATTCTGATTGAGATTGATAGATGACGAGGATGAACAAGTGTAGCCTTTAGTTTTGACATTTTCTTTCGGCTTTCGGAATGGAATTCAACGACATTACCGGCCGCCAAATCTAATCAAATTAAATCCGATAGAAACGAAAGGAAATGCCTGTTGCCTATGTGCTATGTAAAACGTGTGTGAATGTGCTTTTTTCCCCCTGTTGTGTGATTGAATGTATCTCCCCCTCCACTGATGGATGTATCGCCTAACCACAGGCTGCTCCCTTTGACTCGCTATTTCATTCTCGGATGATTCTGTGCCCACTGCCGCCTTCTTTGTGTCAACTTGAAATATATGTTTAACGATTATCTGATTATGATTATGTGATTAACTACCACGTAACAAGCCCACAACGCCTCGTTCTTTATTTTTCCCACAATGTATATCCCCCCCTCCCATGGCATAAAGTGTATTGATATTTTTTTAAACGAAACTGTTTCATTTCGCAAGTATTTTGAATTAAGTATTACAAATTATGCTAGAAGCGATTCCAAATCGCGTCAAGTAGTAGGAGAAAGGGAGACGTGCAGAGAGAGAGAGAGAGAGAAGAAGCGAGACAGCTGCACAGTTTAGAGAGAGACGGAAAGTACATAAGTTAATCTTGTTTTTTTTTTTCCTTTATTATTTTCTAATATAAAATTAAAAAAAAAAATTAAATATCAATGATAAATATTGTCTTGACTATCCAACCATAAAATGAGCATATTTGGGTTATCTAATACTAAACAATAAATGCCAGACACCCAGACAACCGCCCAGACACGCAAGAATCCAAAATTAAATACAATCTACTAATCAGCTATATCAGGGAGAAATCAGAGATATGGAGAGCCCAAAGAGTTGGGCAAGTGCTGCATTTTAATTTCCAATTTTAATTTGATACTGCTCCCTTCGCCCACTGATACCCTTTCTAGTTAGTTGCAATTTGATTGATGATTATGATTGTCGATGGACAAAACTATCTCTACACACACACACACACACATGCCATATACCCAACCATTTCATGGGTATATGTATGTGAATGTGTGGTATGCCAATTATATAAGTAAATGCAATACAACAAAAAAAAAAAAACAAATAAATACAATAATAATAATTATGTATGATGTATGATGTATACTGTAGTCTAACGCTAAATCGTATACTATATAGTATGAAATGGTGGCTTTTTTTGTATACCTACCAACTAAACAAACGAGAACGAGAAACACACACAATAAAAGCAAGAAATTGAAATCTAAATGGTTTATGGGGCAACCATAATTTTCAATTTATAGCCTCTGACTCAGGAAAAACACAAAGGGGAATGGGGGAACTTTGGACAGTGCATATACGATTCAATGGCCATAATCAGTAGCGCGGCATTTTCAGGTTTATTCGTTTAATTGTCATCAACCAAAACAAACAAAAAACGTTCTATATATATATTCGATATAGGTTCGTTCTCTTGTACTCGTACAAAATCGAACAAACAATGCACTCAAACAAAAAGAAAAACCCTTGAGATTATCGGAGGGCAGGGGAAACGTCTTAGATGGGGTCCGCTTAACAGCTCTGGGGGTATGGTGGGGGCTTCTTTGTTTGTTTCATTTTATACACGTTCCAAATTCTATTATTTAAAAGGAATTTCAGGATTATTCAAGTCTTACAGGGGTCCCAGAATTCATAGAAATTTATGCTCTGGGGGATCCCGCATATCATTAAGTTGTGCATTGCTATATCCTAAAACTTGTCCTAGGGAATGAACATGATACTCTCAACAATCCAACATGCTTTCGTTATCTTTTTTAGGGTGCCAATCCCCTAGATGGATGTGCCTCGGCGATGGCTGCTCGAATAAGTTTCACAATTGAATTATGAAAATAGTTTCTATTTTGGTTCCCCCCCTGTTTGGATCGCACCTGGAATGCAGCTGTCAACAGGCAACAACCCCTTCTCACCTGATAAGAGCAATCTGGTCAGCTTGGGCTTAGTCTGCGGGTCTACGGACCGATAACGAGAGTCTTTGTGCGACGGACAGACGACTGTCTGTCGACTGACGATGTTGCCTTTGTTGTGGCCCGTATCAGTTGGAAAAGCGACGCAGCATGGACAACATGTCGATCACTAGACTGAAGCTCCTGGCCCTCCTGGCATTCCTCCTGCTGGGAATCGGCGGCGTTCAGGCCAAATACGGGGACTTGGCCGGCAATTGGCTGGTGGATTACGGCCAGGCCGAGCTCCGTGTTTTCAGCGATGGAAGCGAGCAGCTTCAGCTGCACATTTACAATGTCCAGCCCCAGGATGCCGCCTTGGACTACCATTTTGTGGTGCGCTCAAGCGACGAGCTGAGGGCCCTGGCAAACAGGACGGTACCCCGTCAGGATTTCAATGCCAGCGGCAGTTGGTTGGGGACGGTGGAAGTGACGGGCAAACGTTTCGGTTATAGCGAGCTGCTGGTGGAGCTGCACACCGCTGGCGGCGCAATCGAGTCATTCCCCCAGCCACTGCCCATTGCGGTGTTGCGGGATCGCGTTGTCGATGAGCGCGTAACCACATATGTGTCGGCGGCTCTCGCCCTGCTGATGTTCCTCAATCTGGGCACCGTGCTGGACCTGCAACGCCTGCAGGGCATCGTGTGCCGGCCCGTGGGTCCTGTGGTGGGCATCGTCAGTCGTTTCGTGCTAATGCCAGCCCTGGGCTTTGGCCTAGGCCGTGCCCTGTGGCCGGGGCAGCAGCCCCTCCAGCTGGCCCTCTTTTACACTGCTCTGGCACCCAGCGGCGGTCTGGCCAATGTGTGCGCCGTTTTCCTCAAGGGGAACATCAACCTGTCGATTGCCACCACCACCATCAACAGCCTGCTAGCGCTGGCATTTATGCCGCTGTGGATCATGGTCCTGGGCCGGCTCGTCTACGATGACGATGAACTGACGGTGCCCTTCGGTCAGCTATCTGGCGGCGCGGCGGCTCTGGTAGCCTGCCTGGCCATTGGCCTCCTGCTGCGCCTCTGCGTGCCCAAAGACGACGCTGTTTATCTTCCGCTTCCTCAAGCCGCTCTCGGTGGTGCTCAGCCTGTGTCTGGTGGGGCTGACGGTGGGCCTCAATTGGTTTGTCTTTGCCGAGTTCACCTGGCAGGTACGTGCTATGCTAACTAAAGTTCTGGTTAGTTGGGGCAGCTTCATTCCCGTCATTTGCAGGTGCTGGTGGCTGCTCTCTGCCTGCCCGTTGCCGGCTATCTGGCCACCTACTTGCTGTCCAAGCTGCTCTGCCGCTCGCCCACCGATGCCCTGACACTGGCCATCGAGACCAGTGTGCTGAACATGACCATGCCCATTGTCCTGCTGCAGGCCAGCCAGCTGGAGCAGCCGCAGCTGGATCTCATCCTGGTGGTGCCCATTGCGGCATCGCTACTCTCCCTAGTGCTCGTCATCGTCTTCTATGGGGTGCGCCGCTGCCTCGGATGGAATGTGCGCCAGGATGAGCACGCCTTCGATCACAAACAGCTGATGGCTGAGCACGACGAGGCCGTCTATCAGCGGCCTTGAGAGGCGTCGCTTCCGCTCCACTCTGCCCTAGTTTCCTGTTATTGTTAATTTCTATGATAAGAATACGTATGCGTATATGTATGATAGGTTGGTAAATAATAATAATACCGAGCCTTGAGGTGGCCGAAAACAAGTTTTAATTAAATGCCTTATGTTCCGGAGTCGACTCCAACGGAAAACGGATTGGGTTTCCATTACCGTTTTGGAAAATCGAAATGCAGAATCTCCTAAGACTAACACACAGGTATTTCTGTATCATTTATAATTTTCGAATTACCATCGAGTAAATCCGACTCATCCAGTTTTATTTTTAGGCTGGAGTTTTCAAAAATTTTCGAGTCATGAGCTTGGCCGGGACACCCTACATTTATGTATGTGAAAGTAAAAGACATATAAAATTCCATTGCATTTAGACAAAAATCGACTTCTTACCGGTAGTCGACCAAGGCGAATAGGTCGGTGGAGTACCAACCCTTGTAATTCTGGTAATCCACTGCATCCTTACATCTCGGTTGGACCTCGATGTGACAGCCCTCTATGTGAGATATTGTTCAGACAATCATGCACCATTTTATTATTTGAAAATGTAACACTTGCCCATTGCTCCGAAACACTGCGGAAATCCCATGTCCCCAAAGCCCTTCACCGTTTCCGTAATCTTCTCCCGGGTGAGAAATTCTGCTGGCATATATTCATCAGCAAGTACAGCAGTCACCTTCCGACAAAATTCCATCAAAATAACGCACACAATGGCTTTGGACACACCGAAAAGATTCGCTATCGTGCGATACTCCGCAGAGGATCCCAGGCAATATAGTGATTTCGCTATCCTTTTCTCCAGAGGGATTGCCAGTCGAAAATGGGAGTCTTTCTTTTGGAGATTGGGCAGAATTCCAGCTATAATATTGAAAGCACTCCTTTCCATACGAAAGTTATCTTTGAAAAACGCATCGGAGTTTTGCACAACATCTTTCGCCCAAAATGATCCATATCGTGCCTGTGTACACACATACATTTGCAATTCTCGGCTTGCTTTGCTTTCGTATCTCGTCATGAATCGAACATGTCGAACAAATGCCGAACGTCACAGGTCCAGGAGCCGAAGACCTGGGGGTGCTGCGACAGAAAACTCAGCTGCGACACGTACGGTGTATGAACTGGCACATCTATATCCAGTATGGTTAGTGGCACTGCCTGTATGAATGTGCGAAATATGCGTTTGACAACACTCTTCTTGGCTGGGGCGGTAAATTCAAATATTTTGATTGCTTAAGCAATGAAAGTTGGCCTTTTTGGCCATAAATGTGTGTGTTTGTGTGAGTTTAACAATTTCAAAAGTTTATTCACACAAAATGTATGTAACAAACCGTTTCGAAATATTTTGTCCTACCAACCAAGGGCTATAAAATAAATTTGTGTTGGTGCTGGTGCTGGTGTTGGTGTGCTGCTCTCTTGTTTGCTGGTCAGCTGCGTACGGGATGGCAATTGGAGCATTGGCCAGGCACACACAAACAACAAACATAATGCATACATATACATATGTACATATGTATGTGTGTATGTATGTGCATAGCGGCACACGCACATGCATGGGCATGACGAGCGAGCACTTGGCAACTCTGAAAGGTACGGTACGGCGCTGCATGATGTCATCAGTGGCGTTGCAGGCTGCCGTCAATTACGACACATCAACACACAGACACACACACGCACACAGTCACGCTCTCAGGCACGTGCCTAAGTGTGTGTGTGTGTGTGTGTAAATACACGTGCTTATACACGCGTATGTGCATATGTATGTATGTATGTACATATGTACGGAGGAACGAATATATAAAAATAAGTCCTACCTGTGCACATGCACATGCGATGGCGATGGCGATGCCGATGGTGATGGTGTGTTGGTGTGTTGGTTTCTGTGTGTGAGTGGTGGTCAACTAACGGTTAACGCTTGGAACGCATTACCACGGATCCAACGACCGACCCACCGACCCACTGCTACACCCTGGACAATGTCTTTTTGGTTATAAATACATTTTTCATAGGTGGCAAATGACATAACATGAGAGGAGGAATGGAGTGGAGTGGAGGGGAGGGGAGGGGAGTGGCGTGGCGTAGAGAGGAGAGTATGATACGGGCTGGGGGTGTCAGCTAAATAGAGATAACTTGCCAAGGATAACTACCAAGGGAGCCAAACTATTCAAGGAACTAATCAAATGAAGAGGGGAGAGTGGGACAACTGTCCAGGGAGAACTGTCCGCGTTCAAGGACACCGCTGAAGAAATAACTGAAGAGAAATCAAACAAGGACATGTCCAAGAAAAAAACTACACAAAAATGAATGGAAATTACAAAACAGAATAATGCCCACACAGGAAATGGAAAATAATTAATGCCACAGTTCAAATGAACTAATGAGACAGTAAGGGGAAACTGCGCATATGCATTTCCAAGAATTATGGCATACAAAAGTGGATTAATTAGGGATACTGAATGCCAAGTTGGGGGATATTTTTCACTGTAAAATTTTACTTGTATATTCAGCTGAAAAGTTTATTTTTACTTGCCTTAAAGGCATGCCCATGTCTGGATTTACATAAATGGCAGCCAGATTCGATGCCCAACGGTATTGCATTCAGCGTAAAATCATATTTAATTTGTGTGCCTAACATAAATATAACTGAACATAGAATAGCATAAAAAAAAACAGTGCCCCACACACAGGCACACGCGCACGCATAGCTAGTTCTTGGGCATCAGAATAACGTGTTCGGACAGCTTGTGCAGAACGTAAATGGTGACACCCCAGCTGCGTGTGCCAATGAGATTGGAGCCATTCAAAATGGCGTCGGATAGCACCGCTACGAGATCGGCTGGCCCCATATTCGGCTTCCAGAGACTCTTGCAAATGGCCCCAATGCCCGGGCACTTGCCGCCCGTGGTGAAGTCATCGGCATCCAGCAATAGTCCGCTCTCATTCAAACTGCAAATGAATGGCAGCACGGTCTCGCTGTGGAGGCCAGCGACAACGCTCTCGACATGGTAGGGCTGCAGACGGGGTTCACTCAGATAGTTGGACAGATTTTTTGCATATATCTCGGGCGTCACCATGCCAAACATATTCTGGCGCAACTTCATGCGATCGCGCACTCTGACCACATCTTGTTGGGGTCCTGTTGGGAGGTGGGGTGGGGGCTACCTGGGATTAAACTTGTTCACTTTGTTGGGCAGATGCTGTCACAGTACCTGAGAGCGCCACATAGATCAGGGGCGCCACTTTAAACATATTGCCATGGTCAAAGTTGCTGCCAGCAATGGGATGATCCGTGGCAATGGCCACGCAATGCTTGCCGCTTAGGGCCACAGCACTGCCACTGATAATCGCAGACATATTTCTTATTAGTTTTTAATTCAAATTTGCTTATTTTCTCACAAAATACTTCTGGGTAGGGGCCGCAGTGACTGATGTTTGCTGGCTGGCTTGCTTAGCTCATGGCTGGGTGTAGTTTGCTCGGAACTACTTTGAGCACAGCTCTGAAAGGGGTTAGCTCTTCCATGAAACCATGCACTAATCAACTAGATCAACTAGTCAGTTCGTGCCAGCAGATGCCCATCGATGTGCACTGCTGAAGATTGGCAAAGAAAACTCTTTCGTTTCGTTTCGTTTCGTTTTGTTTCGTTATATGTATATTGTGCGCAGCATTTCCTTTTGTTTGGTTGCAAAGCCCCCCAGCTGTTTGGCCATTGATTGAATTCGTTGTTTACCAGTTGCCACAACGCCCCCGCACAAAAGCCGCATTCATCCCATTGGCATTCCTCATTCCCCATTCCCCATTCGCATTCCTCTTTCCCCATTCGCATTCCCCATTCCCCTTTCCCATTCATCAGACTGAAAAATGTTCATCTTTGCGGGTGGGTGCCATTGTTCTAGTCAGTCCCATTCCCATTCCCATGCCCAACTCTCCCGCTGCTTAAGGTGCACTTTGCGTAGCCGATTAAGTGATTTCAAGATTATATTAGCATTGAAAGGCACAATGGAGCATAGTTAAAAGACAGCAGCCCCAGCCCCTTGTGCAGCACCATCATCATCATCATCAGGAGCAGGCGCGGCACCCCAAACCAGGGGGCCACAGTCCACAGAGTTCCATTGACCGCCTCGGCCTGCTGCTGCGCATTGCAGTTAACCCCGAAAGAAACAATGCAGCAGGCAAAGCAGTCAAAGCAGCCAGAGCAGGCAGAGCAGGCAGAGCAGGCGCTGGGAAGTGTGGAGTTGTCAGGGGGGTATGGGGTTGCGGGGTTCACTTTTTTGTGCCCCATTTCGGGCCCGTGCCAAACAACTTTTGGAGCCGAGAGCTGCAGCAGCAACGACAGCAACAGCAGCAACAGCAGTCACCAATAAGCCAATTCCATTCCCAGCTGGAGGGGTGGTTGGGGCCTTTGGCACTTTTGCCAGTACAAGTGCACTGGCAGCACTTTGATGGGCACCTGCGGGTTGGTGCTACAAGGGGTGGGGGTTTGTGGGGAGGTGGAGATTTAGGGGATACCCCTAAAGCAAAGCATTTGGTTTCGTTTCGTGGCATTTGCGTGGCATTTGGATGATTTCTGCCTATTTCCTGTACGCCCCAGTCCCTGTCCCAGTGTCCCAGTGCCAGTGCCAGTCCTGCCCCTTGTCACCCCACCCAACCCTTAATCGCGTGTTTGCCGCACATTTTAACGGCCCTTGGTGTCGTTTTCGTTGCCGTTGTCGTTGTCGGTTGCCACAGCAACACATGCAATGGCACAAGGAAGTAGGGGGGTGGGACCAGTGGCAGGGGCAGGGGCAGGGGCAAGGGCAAGGTGACAGGGAATGACAAGGTGGCTTGGGGTTTTCGTTTTATATCACAAAAGGAATCAGAGGACAGGGGGGGGCCAGGGCAGAGTCTGGTAAATGGTTCATCTCTCTAAACTGCAAACGTTTGTGGCCCTTTACTCGTTTATTTTCTACTGAAAATAACAAAAGAGATGAACATAAAGGAGCTCAGACCTTTGGCACAACAAATAGTCGTCGGTACTTTCTGCAGCAGCAGAATGAAGCACTCAAAGGAACTTCCTGCGGGCTGGACATAATAAACCTTTGGATCGTGGAGCCTTGCAATGGATTTTTAAATAATTTCAATTTAGAATTAAGAATTGTGAATATTTAATTTACCATTTAATTTGCTAGATTTGTACTGCATATATATGTATACATAATATTCAATTGGGTATTTACATCTGATAATAGTTTTCATAGGGGGGGGGGAATGTGCTGATTTATCATTGCCAAAATAATTGTTTAATATTTGTGGGATATTCCATAATTGTAATCATTTGGACGTTTTGTTTGTGTTTTGTTTGGGTTTATCCACTTGGATGCAATATATTCGTAGCGCTCCCCTCGGCTCTTGGTATTCCACGCACTCGAATAATATTATGTGCGCACTTTTCATGGCACAATGCCCTGCGACTGCTGGCATTCCGCTTAATGATCCCCTGCACGTGTACTCAAATATTATGCCTAATTATGGCGATGTTGATGCGAATTGGTGATGGTGATGGTGGCAATGGCAATGGCAATGGCATAATTAGTCAGCCAGTCCTCTTCCCTCCTCTTGCCCAATGTTGTTGCAAGTACTTGTGGCAACTGCCGCCTGCTGCCTGCTCTTTGCTGTATTTTGTTGTTGCTGCAACTTAATATGGGGTTTCGGTTAAAATGTAACAAAATTTATGCAAATTCCAGTGGAGAGACTCTCACCACCTCCACCTCCTTCTCCTCCTGCTGCTGCCACCCTTGCTACCCTTCACTATCATCTCCTGCAGTACCCATCTAAAGTCTCCTCTCTCTGCCCTGCTTTTGTGTGGAGTATCCATCCACCAAAAGTGCAAAGGAAACGCACAGCTAAATAATGTAAGTTTATGTTAATGTGCAAAGGTGGGGCACGGGGCATGTTTGGGATTAGAGTAGAGGGTAGGGGGCACTGGATGGTTGGTGGAGTGGCTGCTTGGGGTTCTGGTAGCTGGTGGCTGGTGGCTTACGCACCATGCTGGAGGTTGCTGCATTTGACCTGGCATTTACGGCACTCGCCCCCGCTGGCCCCGCCGCTCTACCCCAGCCTTGCTTTCCATCCGGCGCACCTGCCCTGTGGCAGGTGCAGCGGCGTTGGCGGGTTGCAAGGAGAAAGTGTTGACCATAACCGAAGGCGATTTAATTGAATATTCAATTTCTCTCGCCCACGCGGAGGAGCCGTTATCCGTTTGCCGAATGAGTTCGTCAAAACCATCAAAGGAGGAGGAGGAGAAGGAGGAGGAGTAGGAGGAGGAGCAGGAGGAGGATGAGTACGGGGAGTAGGAGTAGGAGCAGGAGCAGGAGGAGAAGTCTCATATTTCATGCTCGCAATGCTATCAATGGCTGCTGGCTGTTGGCTGGAAATTTCTCACTTTCGCTGCGGCAACAAATACGTGTATACGCAAATCGGTTAAGAGTGAACTTAATTCATCGGAAAATTAAATCTACAGAAATTTAAAGGGGATTTGGCTACTGCGTTGCATGCTCAATCCACAAATGAATTTGTGTCCAAATTAGCCAAAAGTCAAGCAGAGCCACAGACTCTTCAGTTGTTCAGGTCTTTCAGTGCTCGCACATTTCTTTAGATGCAACAATATACGAGTAGCAGTCCCCTCCGCCCCTCCCCCCATTCACATGTTCATTCCACCGATTTGTAAATGGCGTTTGATATGGCACCAACTGTGGCCGCTCGTTTCCCCTTTGCAAGTGTCGTGTGTGTGTGTGTGTGTGTGTGTGTGTGTGTGTGTGTGTGTGTGTAAGGATGTGGATCTGGGTGTGTGTGTGGATGCCTGGATGTGGGGTGTGGGAAAAGGTAAAAGGAAATTTACCCGCACTTGACAATGTGATGGACGACAGATAGGACAGTCGTTGCCTGGTCATCGCCATATCACCCCCTTCCCCCCCCAACCCAGCCCTTTCATCCCGTTCTTTACTAAATGTCAGCACTGGACGCAAAGTCCTCTGTCTACGGTGCGCAAGTGAAGGAGGGCGAGCGCGTTGGCGTGGGGTGGGATGTCGGATGTCGGGCAGGGGCAAGGTGTTTGTGGGGACGAGGATGAGGTGCATGGGTTGCCATAAGGCAAGGTGTGTGTTAGCTGGTGGGGCAAGGTAAACGTTGCCGCTGTCAAAATGTCGTCATTGTTCATTCATGAAATGTTCGCCTTTTTTTTACATTTTCATCCAGCAGCAACAGCAACAGAATCGGAAAAGCAGAAGCAGAAGTCACCACAACAACGAGTATGAGTATATACATATATGTACATATGTATGTGTGCATATACAAAAGCAATAACAAGAACCGCAATGGCCGCAAAATAAAATTCTGCTGTCTGTCCCATCAGAAATGCTCCTCATCGCATTCGGAGTACCCGAAATACCCTCGAAGGTTCAGCATATTTACAGGACAGGAGTACCTTCATACATAAGTATGTACCTATAATATACGATATAGTCACTCGATTTGCAGCCGATTTGTGTACAGCTGGTCGAAGCCTTTGCCTGTGAGTTCTCTTCAATATCAGACACAAGGAAACTGCCAGATTCGACATTGCTGACTTCGAAGCTGCGATAAGGAAACTGCAATGAACTGCGGAAATTCATGGACATATATGATAACTGATTAATAGAGCATATATACGAAGGGTGCTACCAAATGGTCAGTGGCATAAAAAAGTTTGGAGTTTTATGCATTGAACATACAAACAACTTTTTCATGTACGACCACGTTTTATATCGATTAACGATAAATCAAAAATACATCTCGGGAAAAAATTAAAATTTGTCATGTCTGATTTTCGCCCATTTAAGTCGGATTTTTGCAAATCTAGTCACTGATTTTCGCCAGCACCATTTGACGGTGCCCCCGCGCCCCGAGGACGATTTCTGAAGGTAGCTAAAGAATTTTTGTGCCACAATGGATGCTGGCGCGACATTTAGGATCGTCTGTGTTGGGCATTAGTATGACGACCAATAATAAGATTTTCCATGATCATCTCGTGCTAAAAAAGGTGTGTCAGCGTGGAAACCCACACCTTAAATTAAGGCCTGTTTTGTAGATACTTTTTCGGAATGCCAAAAGTATTGTGAAAATAGGTTCAAATGTTTCCAAAAAAAAAGGCTTCTTTTCCTGGAGAATGTTTTTCAACATAATAGAACCATTTTCAGACGCCTGAGTTATGGTTTTCATAGCAGCTTACGTATATACCCTTTCATCTACTTATTTGCATGGCCAAATCATAAGTAATACCCTTTGAAAATGTTTATGAAAATAAAAGGAAAGGAAAGGAAAGGGACAGGCAGGCACTCCAGGCAGCGGAGGGCAAAAGAGATGGGCGAAGATAAGGAGTGCTGACTGAGATATGTGTGTGTGTGTTTGTGTGTGTTT